ACGTATTGCATTAGGCATGTCTACTGCACAAGACCTCTTTGAAGTGGTCAAGGGTAAAGATGTCAGTTTGAGGATTAAGGTACACCTGACTCAAGCCATAATATTTTCAGCAGCCTCATATGCACGTGAAAGTAGTTGGACCGTAAAAGAATTGATGCATTTGAGTTACAGTGTTGGAGAAGAATATTAAAAGTACCATGCATGGACTTTCAGCAAACAAACAAATCTGTGTTGGAAGAAATGCAGCCAGAATGCGCTTTAGAAGTCAGGATGGTGAGAGTCTCATACTTTGGACATATCAGGAGGGACCAGTCCCTAGTAAAGGACATCATGGTTGTAAAAAGAAGAGCCAGCAAAGAAGAGAAAGGCCCCCAAGGGGCTAGATTGGCACAATGGCAGCAGCAATGGGCTCAAATGCAACAGCAGTGGTGAGAGTGGCACAGGACTGCATTGTGGTTTGTTCTGTTGTGTGTAGAAGCACTATGAGTCGGCGTCAACTCAATTGCACAGAACAACAACAAATGAGGTCTGTGTATAAGTGGGAAAAATAAAGAAATATATATTTGGAACAATACCATGGTATATTGTTGTTAAGTGCTGTCAAGTCGATTCAGACCCATAGCAACCCTGTATAGGGTTGCCATGGAGCAGCTGGTGAGCTTAAACTACCGACCTTGCAGTTCAAATGACTTTGCAGTGTGACACATTAGCCCACAGCACCACACCAGGACTCCACCATGATATGCTATTATTGTTGTTAAGTGACGTTGAGTCGGTTCTGACCCATATTGGTCCTGTAGAGGGTTTCTGAGGAGCAGCTGGTGAGCTTGAACCACCAACCTTGTAGTTCAAACGGCTTTGCAGTCTGGCACATTAACCCACAGCGCCACACCAGGACTCCACCATGATATAGTATATATTAAAATAAAGAAAGATATAAAACAGTGTTTTCATGGTATTAAAAAACTAAATAGTTTGTAATCAGGAACTCTTGAAAATGCTGTTGTTACTGCATTTTTAAAGATTAGCCTGTACTTGAAATTAATCCACATCAATGACTCATTTAGACTATGATGAAAAACTTTACCTCTTTACCTCATCAATTTGATTAGCTCTAAGCCCATGAATATTCAAAAATTTTTTTTACATTGTTGTCGTCCTTTTACTTTCACATAATTGACAATAAATGGCACACATAAATGAAAACAACTTCTGAGCATAACTAATATTGAGGAATGTAGGACCAACTATCTCTTTCAGGAAAAGCTGGCGTTTTCATTTCATCTCTCAGTCTAGGATCTTAATTCTGAAAACCAATGTTACGTTTTGTTAAAGGGAATACTTTTTTTCCCAGGAAGGTTTTTATTTTGATATGAAGATATATTAGAAATGAAGAACAGTTCTTTTTAGGGTGATGACAGAAAGAAGAGTGATAAGAATTGAAGATGCTTGGCATCAGCTTGTCCAGTGGACTAATGGAACATGTGAACCTCTGTCTCCATGACCCTGAGACCAGAAGGAGTAGATAGTGCCCAGCTATCACTACCAACTGCCCTGAACAGGATCACATTAGAAGGTCCTAGATAGAGCAGCATAATGGATGGAACAAAGCTCAAAACTATTAAAAAGAAAGAGCAGGCTTACTTGTCAGAAAGAGACTGGAGGAACCTGAGACTATGGCCCTTGACCACCCTGCAGGTCTGGATAGGAAGTCACTCTTTAAGCCAAGCAGAAGACAAGTATATAGGGGGAAGAATAATAGTAGTAAGATATGCTCACTATGGAAGATGGAATGGTCAGTCATTCAAAATCAAAGGGGCAACATGTACCTGAGGACAACGGTGAGAAGGAATGGGAAGGTGAGGGGCAGGGAAATAAGAGCCACAGGGAGGAAGTGGGATGATGATGGTTCTTCCACAGAAGGGATTGCAATCATTGAGATGAAACAAAGTGTATTATTTACTGAATGTAAAACTGATGATCTTCCCTGTAAACTTTTACTAGCTAAGTGCCATCAAGTCAGCTCCAACCCACAGTGACCCTGTATCGGGTTTCTGAGGAGCAGCTGGTAATCTTGAACTGCTGACCTTGAAGTTCAAAAGGCTTTGCAGTCTGGTGCATTAACCCACAGCGCTGCACCAGGACTCCAAACTTTTATTTAAGTCACAATAAATAGTAAAACCAAATAAACCAAAAGTCCTGCTGCTGCCCAGGAGATTCCATAGAACCTTACAGGACAGTAGAACTTCTCCATGGGGCTCCCTAGGGTCTAATCTTCATGTAATGATTTCCATGGAGCAGCTTGAGTATTCAAATCACCAGCCTTTTCATTAGCAGCTGAGTGCTTAACCAGCATGCCACCAGGAGTCCTCTGAATACCAATACCCACTTCCATAGAATCATTTCTGACTCATACCAACCTTACCTAGGACTTCTGAGACCGTAAATGTCTACAGTAGCAGATAGCCTCCTTATCTTTCTCTCTCAGAGTAGCTGGTGGGTTTCAACCACCGACCTTGTGGTTAGCAACTGAATGCCTAAACCACAGTGCCACCAAAGCTCTTTGTGAATACCACCACTAGGAGTGCTGAAAGAAAACAAGACAAACCCTCCCCCTTTCCTTCCCTTTATTTTCTTCGTCTTACTATTCATTTATGCTTTTTAGGGCGTGCTGGAAGTCTCTTAAGTCCCAGTAGAATGAGGAAAGGGTCTCGGTAACCAAAAGAAGACAGAGATTCACACTAACTTAATGTCCCTTTTCTACGACAGTGTTTTCCACGGGTGAAGCATTTTCACAATCATCTATAGAATTTTTAGTAAAAATTACGTGGTGGTGGTGGCTGTGTGCTATGGAGTTGGTTCTGACTCATAGCCGCGCTGTATAGGGTTTCTGAGGTTGTAAATCTTTATGGGAGCAGACAGCCGCATCCTTTTTACTGCGGAGTGACTGGTGAACTTGAACTGTTAACTTTGCGATTAGCAGCCCAGCTTGCTAAAATAAGGCGGTCAGTCCCACTGAATCAGGTTCTAAAGGATGGCAGGCCCCAAGCAGACGTGTCTGAGCTGTTTCTGATAGCTGTCTTTCACTTAGAACCATTGTGTGAAAGCAAGCTTTCTGTTCATTTACTTTTGTTTTTATATTCTATGGCAATATCAGATGTAAGTTTATAGTGATTTTTTTTTTCTGGAATAATTATCACCCAGGGTTTTTATATTAACTTTAAACAGATTATGGACATGCGCACAAATGCACACACACACACACACACATATGTACATATACTTTGTTGTTTTCACAATTTGATTATGATAGTGGCCCAGAAGCATGTGTTTGGGGCTTGCCCTATCATTTGTGCAGTCCAGTGTGCTTCCTGTCATGTGGTACAGCAGGGCTGTTTCCACCCGGGACCATCTCACTCTAGTCTCAGTGAAGTCTTGGCTGCTGTGAGTACCGTTGGCAACGTAAAATGATACCGCTCATACAGTGTGCATAGAATGTAAGACTCATGGCTGAAGAATTAACATTATTAATAGCTAAGTCAAAATGTTGGTAACAGGCCCAAGCCATCCTTCTTGTTGAGTTTGAATGTTGTTTCTCAACTGTCACCATGATTCAATATCAGTCTATTCGCAGTTCTTAATTCAGTACTTTTTTGGTAGTGAGTCCATTGAAATGATTACAAGTTTTATCTTTATGTCAGCTTCAATACAGATTTATTGTCACTGTGAATAGAGGCACATTCATTGGTTCTGTCTACTTGAATTTTGGAGCGGGGATCAAAGAATTTGCAAAGGACTTTTCTATTCCTGGATAACATTGTCTGTAAACATTTAACTTTCATTTGTTAGAAATGTAAAATGTATCTGAAATTGGTAACAGAAAAGAAGCTGTCACCTTCAACATTAACACATGTGAGAAAAACATGTCCGTATTAGAACCCCACTGCCATCTAGTCACTCCCAACTTGTAGTGGCC